CTGCTGCAGGAATTCTACGGAAGTCGCGCGACCTGTTTAGTTTGTACTTTACACAATTGATAAAAAGTTCATTATCCTATGATTACAAAAAATTCCTTCCATTCCCTTCCACAGTAATGTAAATTGAGCCTTAAAAATGAAAAATAGAATCAACAATCGTAAAAACTTTGTACAAAAGCATATTGTTATTGTTTAAAAAAAATACAGTAGTGTTACTCAGTGTTTTTTAATGTGGATTATTGTAAGGATTATCAGTGTTATGTATCACAAAAAATACAACAAATATCAAGCAAAATATAATAAGGAAATCTCACCTATAAATCTTCAAGAACAATTTAAACATTACGACATACGTATAGTCCTTCTCCTGACTAACTGTAGTAATTACTAGGCATTTTCGCTTTTGGGACTCACCACATTTATTCACACGAAATCGCTTTGAGCCCGTCAATAAAACCTTTATGTCCATGCAATTAGAGCGAAAAGGACGCAATGCGTTTCGCTTTCGCTCGGAACACCGACGCGGAACGCACAACGTGATTTTCGCTCTTATTACATTGACGCAACCTTTTATCCGACTGGATTAATGCGATTCCCCGTCGATAAGTATGAAGACTCCTTAGGTTCAATTTACATAACCGCAACCATAATCAACTTGTTAATTGTATAACGTACGAACTAGATACCTCCGAGCTTAGAATAATAATGCATAGAAACCTAGTCCGCACACGCTAAGTGAGGCAAATTTAAGCGCGCCCAATGGGCCTACACGAGCGGGCGGGCCTTCAGTGCTCAAGGTCAACTTGCGCCGCGTACAGATCAAGAATTTTAGCTAAAAATGACGAAATGCGCGGTAAATAAATGTAAAAATACGTCAGACAAACATAAATTAGATACTAAAATCACATTCCACAAGGAAGTAACGCGTCTCAACTTGTATTTTTATATAAATATTCACTAAAACCGAAAATTAACCTGCTACTAAAACTAGCCTACATGAATTTGATTTTTGCCTCACTTGTGACAGTTCGTTTGATATTAAACTATCATTCTATGCGTTATTATTCTAAGCCTCCGAGCTAAGAATGTAAATATTAATTCATTTGTGGTGAGAGTACCAACTCAACATCTGTCGACCTTCATCAAGGAGTGGTTGGTTGGTTGACACCCATGTTGCGTCACAAATGCATAAAGTTAATTATGCTATGTACCATTTCATTATAAAAGTTCGCTGTAATGCCATTCCGCGATAGTGTAAATTGAACCTTAGCACTTCACATCTCGAGTTCAATAGCTAGTCTTCCCCTTCTAAGGCGGTTATTCTCAGGTCAGTATTCCCTACCTAATTTCCGTGACAGTGTTTATTACTTAAAAGTTGGAATATATAGTGTCGTGAAATATTATTCAGAGCTCAAACAAAGAAAATTTGCCTTCGAACACTGTCCTAAGAATTGCCGGGGAATATTCGCTGTTAAATGACGAATAAAAACGTACAGATATAGTTAGTTAAACATTGAGCATCGGAAAACTAGGAACCACGAATATACCAAGCAATTTCGCAGTTTATTTTTAGATTTTTGTTTTTTTTTAATACAATTTCGAATAAAATTCGCTTACATTCCGTTCCGCCGCAATATAAATTGAGCCTTATGATCAACAAACTTAAGATATTGAACTCTGTAAGTACTCAAGAGGTATGTCCCTCTTGAAAATGCAAGATGGATTTCGTTAGTGTTGCCGAGCATATTTTAACGCTGTCTTGTTCCAATAAATATCAACAGGTAATTGTAATACTTGCGAAACTCTTGCAGCAATACCAAGAGTACTGACGTAAGACCAATACCAAGGCCCAGGTATACTGACGCAAGGCCAAGATCAAAACTGATTTAGTCTCATCTTGGTTTAGTATTTTGGCAACACTAATGACGGACCATCGCGCACATCGTCCGCGCCTATTTTGGAAAAAAAACCAAATATACGTGATTTAAACTCCAATATCATAAATCATTCATTAATACGTAGACAGACGTGATGGCTTTCGGAAATACACGAATATGACCGAGTACTCCCGATGTTCAATGTTTATTCGGTACATCTGTACTTACGCCAACAATGTTAGATTAGTTAGGAGAGGCACTATATTGTTGTCGTTGCGGATTCCGTAAGATATTTAAAAGAAACTACTAATCAATTATAATATAAGCTTTATTTGAAAACAGCATTCGAAAAAAAAAAAACAAACTGAGGTAAATGCGTTTTTAAATAAATTTCCTATAAAAAACTTATTTATTTTCAAGTTAAGTTATAAAAAATATTTAACAAGGTCTAAAAACAAAAATAAATACTTTTAAAATGCAAAAGTAGCTCATTACAAAAAAATAAGTTTTAGAAAATAGTATTTTCGACACACTTTTCTTTTTTCAAGGCTTTCGAAAATATGAGTCGGCTATAAAAAGATTTTTACACATATATTATTTTTTTAGGAGCTTTTAAAGTCAGGCATTAGTCAAAAATAAGACTATATGAAATATACACTCCACTGATGCGTATATGGCTTTCCGTATACAGTACGTCCCCCAAAGAGAGACGAGGTAGGTACGCTTTTCTAAGGGGCTAAATAGAGCAGTATCTCCCCTCAAAGGACGAATTAGGTACGCCTTTCCGTCTACCGTATAAGTTTAAACCATTAAAAACCCATATTTAGTACGTCCACTAGGGGATGAATTAGGTACGGCTTTTCGTAAGAAACGCTCGTAAGAAAGCGTCTCTGATTCGTCACGTCTCGAGTAATTACTCAAACAAAATATCTGCTATAATATAGATATTATGTATTTATTAAAGTTAAAAGGAATACAATTACAAATTAATCATTATCAATATTATCAATATTTATGTATTTAAACAGTTTTTATCAAATACAAGATAAATGTATTAGCTAATTTATTAGGAAACAAACAAGTGCTATTACAGTCTGAAAGAATTTTTCGAAGACAAAAATTAAATATCGATTACAAAATATACTATAGAACTTAAGTAAGCACTTTGAAATTCTCGTCATTCGTTCCTTCATACTCCAATAACTGAAAATCAGTCACAAGTTTACTAACTAGACCTGTAAATCGTCCTTCATCCATTTTAAATAATCTTAACTCAAACACAAACGATATTAATTAGCAGTTATGCCGCGAATTACGTAAAAATAAATGCAAGATCGAAATGGACTGTGACACCGCACTCGCGCGAAATCAGTTGTTATTGATATTATTATTTCTGCCCTATTTTGAAACACGCATTCAACACACATTCTAATTAGTCTCATTAAAGCTCTAGCTTAGAATTGTCCATTTTGGAGGTGTTTATTGGTAGTGTAGGTGAGACGGAGAGAGATAGCTTCCGTGTTTATTATTTGCGTTTTGCACTGTTTACTTAAAACAATAAGAGAGAATCTCGTTTGAACTATGTATGACCTTTGAGTTTTTGATTCTGGAATTACTCGATGTGACGAATCAGAGACGCTTTTTTACGAGTGTTTCTTACGAAAACCCGTAACTAATTCGTCCCCTAATGGACTTACCAAATACGGTTTTTCAATCGCTTAAACTTATGTGGTACCTGGTTAGGCGTATCTAATTCGTCACTTCGAGGGGACATACTGTGTACGATATTTCAGTTGTTTAGACCCTTAGAAAAGCGTACAGAGCTCGTCTCTCCTTGGGGGACGTACTGTATACGGGAAGCCATATACGCTCCCCGGATACATAATTCGACCCACCTTGCATTTTTATCCTTAAAGGGCAAAATATAAAAATATAATTTTCATCGAAGAAAAAATTTTCTTCGGTTTTTTTAAATTAAAATTTTCAATAAGGACTTAAGGAAAATATACCTTTAGTATACCAGTTTCAAAGTTGCGTAATAGCATTTTTGAGCAATCAAGCATTGTTTAAGCTAAGGGCTTTTAATATTGAAAATGCAATGTGCCTCGAATGATGTGTCCGGGAGTATATAATATATAAATATAACAATAAATGGAAATAGTCAACTAATTTAAATTGAAACCTTGAAATTAAGTTTGTACGTTCTTAAATACGTGAAATTATTTCGATAACAAACTAATATCTTTTTAGCTTACTAAACTCTTGGTTATATATCGTCTTTAAAGGTAAGTGACATTTTATACAAAAAGCCACAAAATTTCATAGCTATGGTTAAAAAACTAAATAATTAAAGAAGAATAAACTTTTATTAGAAAAGACTATGCATTTTTGAGTTTTACCAGCACAATTGTAGTTTAGAGGCTTTTTGTGAAACATGTACTTTTAAGCAGACGATATAATGTCACACACCCTTAATAATAAAGTGACACAATTCGAAAACTAACCTTTTTGGGGAACCTGACAAAAATAAATGAATAATTATAATCTTTTTATAAAAAAACCGACCTCAAAAGTTTTATTGAAATCGGTTACCGGAAAGTGCGCGAAACCGAATTCATCCCCTAGTTTGCCTCCCTTAGAGGTGGGATATTTTCTCCAAATTTAAATGGGACCAATATTGAGTTACCCTCTTTCCCACAGAAAAAGGATCATCAAAATCGGTTCACAAATGAGAGCGTAATCGCGTTACATACAAAAAAACAGTGGAATTGAGAACCTCCTCCTTTTTTCAAATCGGTTAAGAAAGCAAAAATATTTGCTTTTCTTTCTAAGATTGAAACTTTTAACGCAGCGGCCACAAGTATCTTTATACTCAGTGTCTTTGTTTATGTTTATGTAAATATTCCGTTTTAAAATTTAATTTAATTTTTGTTTTGTAATTATTTCGCGTCTTACATGTGAACGTTCTGATTACGGTTTAAATCTTTTTATTTATTTAATTTTACTTTTTTTCTGTTTTCATTATTTTTCTTGTGTGGAAGTCAAACAACCGTATATTGCTTTTTTTCTTCCTTTAAAAAAACATACGAAAAAAAAAGTTGTTACGTACTTTTTTTTTCGCTTTTCATTTCAAATATAATTTAGTTGGTGCTAGTCAAATGGCACGTATGGCTGGTAACACAGATAATTTTTTTAAATAACTAAGTCAGTTTCCCAAAAATTCCTTTTTTGATTTAAATCACTTTATTACTGAGGATGGGGTATAATTAAACTATGGAAAAATACATTTGCTATTTTTACAGTAAGCAAGAGTCAACATGTTGTTGTAACAATATCAAAGACTTAAAAGATTGGTCGCAGACGGGACAGTCGAAGCGTAGCGGTGGCGGCGTGGTCTCCTTACTCCCCCCTGTTTGTGCCAGCTTCTTCTTTTTCACCTTATATTTTATAATACCATTAGATTTAGACTAAGTAATAATCTAATTTATGAATTATGAATTATTCGAGGCTTAATACGTTTAATTTTACTACAGAATGTACACATACGTTAACCACAGCCATCAATCGATACCTTATAACAGTTCAACTTCAACAGATGGCGCTATAAGTATTTTAAAACGAACGTTTATATCCATTCATAGAATTCACCACCTGATGACATTAATGTCTTTCTTCGTTAATATTTTGAATTATAAGTGTCTAATTTGTTTAAATTAAATTCTGCCAACAACAAACTCCAAACCACACAAATTATCAACTTTAGAACTACGTACCTACTTTCACCAACAGTTTATATTTAAAGGTGATATAAGGACCCTTTTGCCTGATGAGTTACCTGGGATGGATAGCCCTTATTTCGTCTCTATTTCTGGTTATATACTCGATGTCAACAAGACAGCCTCGTGGCAATGAGATTCTAACTCTCCAAATCAGTATAGCCATCTTAAATATTATTATTGATAGATCGAACAATAAAAGAAAAATCCTACATTTTTAACTTAATTATGATTCAGACTATAGTTACCTGTATGTCAAACTGTCTGTCTCTGTCTTACTTTTGACAAATAATTAGCGTAAAAAATGGTTTAAACGTTTATATTGAACGCATTGACTTACAATTATATGGACGTCGGGTCCGCGCTAAAAAGTGTCCGAACTTATAGGGCGTTAAAATCGTATACAGAGCGTCATTCACGCTTTAGTCTTCGTTTGTTCGACTGACAGCGAAGCAAGCAAAATTAGACAGTACTGCGATGACACTACAATTTAAATTCAACGTTTTAGCTTTTTCATATTCCTTTACATGTCACTACGTTTAAATAGGTTGACTTGGGACATTTTTTTCGTGGTTTTTGTATTAGACCCGTCGTCCGTTTATTTGTAAGTGAATGATTGAACGCCATAAAGTTAATTTACGTGGTCAATTTGATGAACAGTTTTTAATCAGTAACCATCAACTGTTAGTGAAAAGTATGTCCACCTAAACAGAATAAACATGTAATCACAACTACAAAAGTTTTAAACAAGTATTCGACTAATATTCAAAAACAAGGTAAATAATCTCAAAAAAGGATATTATAGTCCATAATATCAATATTTATCATTAAAGGTACGGACAGGTAAACCAATTGTGCTGGAAACCTAATTTATCCTAAATTAGGCTATCTATAGGCTATATATATCCTAAATGAGACTTATAAAACAAATTTTGACTTTTATTAAGCAGTAGAGATTCTTGTGGAAGAGTGAGAAAGTTCGTTCAGGGAAGTACTGCCACCTTATCTACTTCTGCCGCCAAGCAGTAATGTGAGCATTACTGCGTTCCGGTTTTGAAGGGTAAGAGTGATTTTTTTTTTATAAACGCACACACTCAACATAACCCCGCAGTAGGGAAACCCTGTGTGCCATGGACACACATATAGACAACCAGAAATTACACCCAAACTCCGAGAGAAATAAATGTAGGCCATAGAAATATTTCTCCCGGCCCGGGAATCGAACCTGGGACCTTTGCGTGACAGTCCGGCATGGTAATCGGTCGGCCACTGAGGCAGTTATTAATAGTAACAGTTTAATAATAATAATAATTACAGGCATGTGGGACTTGTCAACTTATGTATCAAGGTGACGGGCGTCACAGTGGCAGCACTGCCACTCCCTCCCTCAGATATTTGCGTTTTAAAGTCTGAGTGGCACTGTTATGGACAGGTTAGTCGCTTACACCAGGAACACGACTTGTTCGTCCCGTCACTTGATGTCATAATTATAACTTTTTTATATAAAAAAACCGACCTCAAAAATTCATGGAATTACGTTTATTTAAATTTTTATTGAATTCATATTCAATTACTTTTTATGTGAAATGACTCCACTAGTTTTGTTATAATTAATAATCGAAAGATCGACCACTCAGAAAAAATTCCTTCGATCCGGCCAGATTCAAACCGACGACGTCTTTTAGCATACCGTGCCAGACGTTATACCAACTAGCCACGGAACGAACCACCGGACTTCACGAATTTTTCTATATGTTTGTTGTCATGTCTTTGTATCTTGTTTTTTCAATGTCTTTTTAGCCGTAGCGCCATCTATGAGAAATCTATGAAAGTATTTCGTCACCCAGTTAGATACCATTACAGCAGCCCTGGCAAGAGATGTCGCTATTCATTGTATTTAAATGTTTATTGAATTGATATTCAATAATTTTTTATGTGAAATTACTCCACTAATTTGTTACAATTATTAATACAAAGATCGAACACTGAAAAAATTCCTTTGATCCGGCTTTATTACATCTATTTGCCAAGTTTTATTGGAATCGGTTACCGGAAAGTGCGCAAAACCGGATTCATCCCCTAGTTTGCCACCCTTAGAGATGGAGTATTCAATTCAATTTAAATGGGACCAATACTGAACTAAACTATTTCCAACAAAAAAAATCGGTTAACAAATGCCGTTTAATCGTGTAACATAACGCAAGAAAAAATACTGTCGATTTGCGAACCTTTTCTTTTATTTTTAAAAAGCAAAAATAACAAACTAAGCACGATTATGGTGTTTACAAAACGAGTTTTACCTGAATTTAAGCAATTAAATTACACTTAGTAATTTCTTTGCTTAAACTTAGGTAAAATTCGTTTCGTAAATGCAAAAAACTTGCTTAGTTCGCCATTTTTGTTTAGTCGAAGTGAAAGTTCGTTTTTTAAATCTCAAGCCTTTAGTTTAAGTATACACAGCCCGCGTCTTCGCTTGTCGCTCTTGTTAACTTCTAGAAATATCTTCTAAATGATAACGCAATCGTCAAGTTCTGAATATTGCCGACTGCCACCCTGGAACAAATCAGAACGATTGTCCCAACTTATATTTCGTGTTACAATAGGGTGACAAGAAATTAATTCGCTTTATTTTGCAATGACAAATTATTCATAAAATGTGAAAGACATAAATATGTTTTAAATATTACATTTAGTAGAGGTTCCTCCCGGTAACAGCGAAAAAGGTTCACATCTCTTGGAATACGTCTGAACTAAACAGCTTTAGGCTAGCGTGACGAATTACCTGCAGCCTAAACAACCTTAAAGCGTAAAACCATCGAGTATATAACCAGAAATAGAGACGAAATAAGGGTCATATATTCTTGGTAACACATTAACGATACAGCTCTTATAAATATCAACTCTCGTTTGCGCTGAAATATAGACAGGCCAACTACTGACCCGTGTGTACGTCTCCGTATATTCCAAAAAATATTTTGTATTTTTTATAATAAAGATAATATCTCTAACAATGCCGTGTTGTTCTATTCGGTGGTGTGGGAAAAACAGCAAAACATCTTATTACAACACAAGCGGAATCACATTTCATCGGTAATTAAATATTAAATATGTAATTTTGCAATTATCGTCCATTATAGCAAAGCTCAAGTAACTGGTCGATTTGAAGTGAAACAATTGACGATACCCATTGACGACACCCGTCAATTGTTTCGAACTCGGGCTAGCCAATCGGAGGGCAGTTGTCACAGTAATGACATGGCAGAAAAATTTTCAAACAAGTTACATGACATTTCGTCTCTATTTCTGGTTATGTACTCGATGCGTGAAACATACTGAAAGCGGGTGCGGGTCGGGCACGTGTCGGTTCGGGCGCTTGTCGGATCGAGCGCGTGTCGGGTCGAGCGCGTGTCGGGTCGAGCGCGTGTCGG